ACATTCCTCAGGGCCTTCCCACTGCTAAACAGACCCAAAAGGATGTGCGGGCGTAATGAAACCAGGCTGACTTTCTACTTTGTGCTCAGAATGTCTGCTGTGCAGTACATTGCCTTTTGTAAAAACATTTCAGGTGAAGCCTGGCTGGTTACCAGTAATTAGAATTTTTTGTTTCACTAGAGGTCTGGAAAAGGTAAAGAACGGCACACAAGTCTCTGAGTGCTAAATAATGAAAGCTGTCCTGCTACAAAAGCCAATTAACGCCTCCCCTAAATTCTCAAATACTCTGGGCAGGGGACTGTGAGGAAACTGCGAGGTGTCTGACACTAAGCTGGCCCCAAACTCAAAGCCCTTCCCAGGCAGTAGAAGATCTGGACAGTAAGATGCAGAGGCATCACAAACAAATTCTCTGATGGTGGTGTGTGTCAAAGAGCAGAATTTAAATAAACACATTAAAAGGAAAAAGAGAAACAGTACTAAATAAGACATACTTATATGGGCAAAACTTATGGTTTATAAATTATAATTCAATATACCAAATAATATCTTGAACATTTATTTCATAGTTGCTCCAGAAGCCTCTCTTTACTGGATGTTAAGATATCATATGGCTACAAGTGCGACCATGTAGCTAAGTGTGAACACACACACATGGCCCGAGGAACATGTGAACGAACTTTACTAAACAACCAAATTTATGTCTTCTATACTACTTATCGATGAGATTTCATTTGTCAAAGTAGCATTTCCTAGTGACGGAGTAAGCAAATTATAGGTTTAATGGCTTAATAATAAATCCCCTGAGAGCTGAAGACCAAACCTAAAGTGATAGCAATGGTCAAAAAAGATAAAATATGCTTCGTTAGGATTATGCCAAACAGCTCCAAATAAGAATAACTTGTATAGAAACATCCACTGAGAGCTGCAAATGTGATTTCCACTTTGCAATATCTGATTTCTAGACAGTAAAGGAAAATTGTACTGTACTTTGATTTTCTTGATCTTCAGGAGGCTCTAGAACCTTCACAAACTCCACATTCACATGGATTTCAACTCCCAACATCAGGGCCACCTTGAATAGAATGAGCTGCAGCTGCCGGATACCTGTTAGGGTGGAAGGAGAAAGGAGATGAACTGTCAGTAGCAATGCCCGAGTGCCTCCTGTATGCAGACACCGCTCAATGATCTCTGAGCACAGCAATGTACCAGCAGTGACCATTACTGAGCACTAATTATGCGCCAAGCACTCTGTGTTTTAACCCTTAACAGTGGCTCTTTGGGATCATTATTATTCTCATTTTATAGATGAGAAATTGAGACTTAACAAGATTAAGTGACTTGCTTGAGGTCACATATAGCAAAACTAGGATGTGGACCCAGGTCTGTCTGGCTCCAAGACCCTGCCCTGGCCATCATGTAATGCTGTGAGAGGGAGACTCTGTCTTCTTTGCGTTTTTCCTGAGCTGGGCTCTGGGTTTGATGAGATGATGAGATAAAGATGAAAAGAGGAGACAGAGAGGAAAGGCCCATGAGTAAAGTCAGGGATCAGTGGCCCATTACGTGGGGCCTATGCCCAAGCTCTTCACCACCCAGTGTACGGCTGGGTGGGAAATTCTCCCCACGAGCTGGGTCATGGTTCTCCACCTCCTACCCACTCTTCAAAACCCGCCCCCAATGAGTGGAACCTCAGTCCCTGTTTTGTCCCCTGCCATTCAGCACAGATGGGTATGTCTCCAAACGTTTTTCTGTAGAGTGATAAATTTTAAATTTTCTGTGGGCCCCTCTGTATTTAGTGGGCTTAGCTCATTTAACATTTATTGAGCATCAACAATGTGCCAGGTTCCTTGCTAGGCACAGGAGACACGAAACACACCTGTAACGGAGGAAACACAGGTAAACAGAAGGGGGCAGGGCCTGGTGGTTATGGGGGAGGGCCAGCAGAACAGGGCCTGTGATGGGGTCCTGGAGGCCAAGAGAGGAGGGGCCAAGCATATCAAACCCCATGGAGAGATTAAGGACTATGAAGGCTACATGAGGTCAGGGCACTTGGGGGTTAGGAAGGCTCTGGAGACCTTGGTGAAAGTCTCTCTAGCCTGGTGGTGGGGAGAAATTAGACTGCAATGGACGGGGTGTGAACAGATGAAAGCTAGGACAAATGCTCTGCGGTAAGGAAGGGTTATGGGGTAGTAATGGAGGCTGGGGGCCAGTGTGAGGTGGGATCAGGAAGACTAGGGACAGGGACAGGGGAAGGAGGGAAAGAGACCAAGAGGGACTGGAGTTGGAGAGAAGGTGGCCAGCTCTGCCTCTGCCGTGGGGGTGCCGGAAGGAATGAGGGCTTGGCAGAGGAGGAGGGAGGGGGCTGGAACGGGGAGTGCTGCCAGTGGTCTCCCCTCCCCTGAGCACAGGAGGGCGGTCCTCTGCTGAGACCAGGAGGCTGTGGTGGAAGCCTGGAAGAGCTGCAGCAGGAGCTGCAGGAGGATGCTAACACAGGACAAGTGAGAACCGCTAAGCAATGCTGAGCCTGAGGACAGAGCTGGGGTGGACACATGGCTGGTCTGAAAGGAGGCTGATCAGCTGGGGTTTAAAAAACCCAAACCACGGGCCGGCCCCATGGCTCACTCGGGATAGTGCGGTGCTCGTAGTGCCGAGGCCGCGGGTTTGGATCCTATATGGGGATGGCCAGTGCGCTCACTGGCTGAGCGTGGTGCAGACGGCACCAAGCCAAGGGTTACAATCCCCTTACCAGTCAGAGGAAAACAAAAACAAAAACAAAACAAAACAAACCCAAACCACCTCCTGCCACAAACCAGTCCTTCCGGGGGAGGCCTGGCCTCTCCTCCTGGTTTCATGGCTCCTAGCCTATCTGGTTCCAGCACACAGCAGGTACTCAATAAATTCTCTTTGTCTCCCTTCTGACAGGTACTGGAGCTGCCCTTGAGAATGGCCATTCTGACCGTCTCAATTTCATTTCCAGAGTCCTGCCAGCGCTTCTGCATGCTGCAGTATTTCCAAGGAGCAGGCATTAAACAAGAGCCCCACTGAGGAGGGCAGAGAGAGGCTCTTGGCTGGGAAGCCAGCCCAACAGCCCCAGGGCACTCACGGACCTCCTGGTGCCTGGCTCTGCCTCTCAGGAGGACTTGATGAGAAAGTGGAGCTCTATGTCATCATGCAAATTGGTAACCAACATACATTCTTCCGTGGGTGGTAAAGAACATCCTGCAAGCTGACACTGCAGCTCTCTGGGCAAACGCAAATTTCTTTCTGTTGGACTCCTGGAATTTTCTCATCCCAAAGTGGGAATGAACTCCAGGGCCACTGCTGGCAATTTCTACTGTGTCTGAATAAATTACACCCTATGCGGCTGACAATTCCCTCCAGTCATTCCCGCCCAAACCCCACTCCCTTTTCCCATCAATTTTTGTCATCATAAGAACATGGCTCTCAGGGCTCTCCTCCCACCCATCCCCACAGAAAAAAAACACTGGGTGATTTCGTTTCTCAGCCTTTTGGCTAAGATCAAGTGTAGAAAAACACTGGGTGAGAGAATGCAGCTCTGCATGCTGAAGTCTGGGGACCATGGCTGCTTCTTGCTCACTGTACATCACTGGATGTAAAACATTTTCCTGAGTTCCTACTGTGCACCAGGCATAGTACTATGTACATTACAAACTGGACCTCACTTAATCTTCTCAGCAATTCTGGGAGACAGGCATTAATCACACTTTACTGGAGACAGAACCAAGGCTTGAAGAAGATAAGAAATTAAAGCCAGGTCATACAGAAATGGAAGAGACAGATTTCAAGATTTGAACCCAAACCTGTTCAAACCCTTGAACTCTCCCTACAGTGTTATCCTCCCTGACCTTCAGGGATCACTATTGCCCTAAGTATAAATTGCTAAAGACCTCCTCTCTGCAAAGTTGCAAGGAGGGATGCTGCCCTTTCCAAAGCCCACCTGCACAGACCTTGTCCTGAGAGACCAGGCTTGAGTAACATTAGAGCAGAAGGGCCTTGGCCTTGCCCTACGTAAGCATTCAGGGAAGGCCCTGGACCTGCAATCCATGTTCTATTTCCCTTCCTATTCTGGCTGAAGTCCCATCAGGATGCCCTCTCTCTCTCTCTTTTTTTAACGCTCAAGGAAACTTTGGTATGGCACCTGTCAGGAAACATGAATCCAACTGTGTCATTCCAGCACTCGCAGCACAATGTTCAAACTCCTTTGCACAAGAGGGTCCCAACTACCTGTCCCATTGAATGGTTTTGTGTGGCTCTCTCCTCTGAACTTGTCTAGGGAGTGTGACTAACTTTATTAAAGCACATTTTATTAATGACAAAATCTCAAACAGCTCTCTAAGAGTACAGACTATGCTATTTACCTCTGACTCTGTTTTCCAAATTTCACTCATTTATTCAACAGATGTTTATTGAGCATTTGCTATGTGTCAAGTGCTCTTTTATGCCCTGGGGATATTGTGGTGAAAAGACATCCACACAGTCCCTGACCTCATGGTGCTTACAGCCTAGTGGGACATAGCACTGGGCCTGGAACAAAATACAAAGCTGGCCTTTCACTAAATGTCTACTAGTGGGATGTGTGGAGCCCCGAGAGACTTGCAAGATGGAACAATCTGGGGACTCTAAGACATGGAGAGATGTGCCCACCCAGGGTCAGCCCCCTCCCATCATGGAGTGCCACCATTGGCTCCACTCACTGATGTGGTCGATGGAGCCAGCACAGAACTTCCCATAGAATTTCTTGGCGCCCAAGCCCCGCAGGTCATGGATGGTGAAAGGCCAGAGGTGCAGCACGTTGTTCCGGGAGAAGGTGTCCCTCTTCTCCACCACGACTACTTTGGCTCCCAGGTAGGCAAGTTCAATGGCAGTTCGTAAGCCACATGGTCCTCCCCCAACGATGAGACACTGCAGAGGTGAGAGAGGAGAGAGGTTCTCAGGAACCTCCAACATCATAGACACAAACCCCCAGTCAGCAGTGTAACTGAGGAGCAAACCCCAGTCTACCCAAATCAACCAGCAAGCACAAAGCACGTGCCTGTGAGGGCCTGTCATTCATCCATCCAACTCACGTTACCTGTGGGCCTACCATGCACCAGCTCTGTGCCAAGCCCTTGAAGGATGCAGAGGTAAAGGGACTAAGAAAGGACGTACAGTAAGATGCACATGAGGTTCAGACTCAGACTGACTGGATGAAATCCCAGCTCTGGCATCTGAGCTTAGTTTCCTTATCTGTGAAGTGGGTCTACTACTCTTTCCTCATAGAGTTATTGTAAATGAGATCACTTTTAAAAAGCATATGGTACTTCTTTGTGATCTTGGATCAGGCAATAGTTTCTTACCTATAACACCGAAAGCACTAGCAACAAAAGAAAAACATTGATAAATTGGACTTGATCAAAATTAAAACTTTGATACTTCAAAGGCTGCTATGAACAAAGTGAAAAGATAGCTCCACAGATGGGAGAAAACATCTGCAAATCATATATCTGAAAAGGGACTTGCATTAACATATATAAAGAATTTTTACACCCTAACAATAAAAATACAAGTAGCCCAATTAAGGAAAGGGCAAAATATTTGTATAGACATTTCTTCAATGAAGATATACAAAGGGTCAGTACAGGAAAAGATGTCCAACACCATTAGTTGAGGAAAACTGTGAAACCCTGATCAAAGCCACAATGAGATCTCACTTCACAAGCATTAGGATGGCTATCATAAAAAAGATGGTGAAAAACAAATGTTGGTGAAAATATGGAGAAATCAGAATCCTCATACATTGCTGGTAGGAATGTAAAATGGTGCATATGCTCTGAACAGTCCAGGCAGTCCTCAGAAAGTTAAACATAGACTTACCATATGAGCTCACAATTCTCCTCCCAGGTATACATGCCCAAGAGAAATAAAAAAACATGTCCATATAAAAACCTGTATGTGAATGCTCATGGCACCCTTACTCATACTAACCCCAAACTGGAAACAACCCAAATGTCCATTAATTGGGGAATAAATGAAATGTGGTATATCCATACAATGGAATATTATTCAACCATAAAAAGGAAGAAAGTTCTAAATATGGATGAACCTTGGAAACACTGTGCTAAGTGAAAGAAACCAGACAAAAAAGGATGCATATTGTATGATTCTATTTATGTGAAATTTCCAGAACAGGCAAATCCCTAGAGACAGAAATAGATTAGTGATTGCAAGGGAATGAGGGAGGGAGGACTGGGGAATCACTGCTAATGGTTACAGTTTTAGAATGTTCTGGAATTAGTGGTGACGGCTACACAACTTTGTGAATATACTAAAACCACTGAATTACATACTCAAGAGTGAATGTTATAGTATGTGAATTACACCTTAATAAAAAAATTGTATGAGAAAAAAGCATATTGTTCAGAGCTTGGAATACACTAGTGTAAACGTTGTTATTCTTATTGCTGAGACCTAGTTCCTGTCTTTTGGGAACTCTCAGGCTAGGGGTAACTTCAAACTGTGAAATGAATCACTAGAACCCTGTGTGGTTGGTTCCATTTGAAGCCCAGAAGGGGAACTGCTAATCCTGCCTGGTAGGCTGGAAAAGACTTCCCAGAGGAGGGTCTTTAAACATTATTATTATTGTAGCCTACACCTGTTGAACACTTACTATGTGTCAGACACTGTTTCAAGTGCTCAATGTGTTTTAGCTCTTCGTCCTCACAATGAATATAAGGAACTGTTGTTATGCCCATTTCACAGATGGGGAAACTGAGGCACAAAGCAGCTAAGTAATTGGTGCACAGTTTCACAGATTGAAAGGGGCAGAGCCAGGATTCAAACCCAGGTGATCTCATGCCAGAGCCCACGATGTTGTGCTGTTTCTGGTTTGCCAGGAATAAAATGAAAAAAGAACGTTTCAGCAGAGGGGATAGCCCATTCAAAGAGAAAGAAGTTCAAGGTGGATGGACAGAAGGATACTTTGGGAGAAGAGAGGGGACAGAGAGAAAAAAAAATTAGTTTGAAACCAGATGTTGAAGGTCTGAAATGCTGACTGGAGTATGGACTCGGTCCTGTTGGCACTGGGGCCATGTGGTTAGGGTGACAAGACAGGATCTGTATGCATCCCATGCTGTTCCTCAGTGGGCACTGCATGTTAAACAAGACAAGGTTCTTTCCCCAGGGATGACACGCAATGATGTAGATAGCTGTACTGGGCAAAAACCCTTCCAAACAAAATCTCATTAGAAGCACCAATACTGCCTAAAACCAGAGGAAAAGGGCAATCCTCTGGCTGAAAGAATCAGAAGAAGTTCCTTCCTGAGGCAGGAGTTTGCCTGGGGGGTTCTCAGGAGCTGAGGCTAACCCCAGCAGGCAAGAGGCAAAGAGATTTGCACCCACTCCTCAGCCCTTGACATTGCAGAGGCATCTGGAAACTTCCCTCCTGCTCAGGATCAAGCCTTATCTTAAAAAAACACATTCCTCTTCCTCTAGCAAATATTCCATCATCCAGTTATCACTCAGCGGAGCCCCAAGGGTCCCAAAGGGAAAGTGCAAACAAGCATATCAGAAGCTCCCACACCACAACCAGTGTGGCTGACTGATTGGAACCTTCCAGAGAGTTTGTGGACACCCAATTAAGGGAAATGAAGTCACCACTGAGATACAACTCGCTCCAGAGATGTCGGGGAGTGGGCGTGATGTCCCCCCTTGCTCGCTTTCTGGACAGAGCTGCCTGGAGAGAACCAACTTTCCCCAGGCCCAGCTCCTTGTCTCACACCCCAAACAGCTCTGTGGCTCGGACATAGCCAGACAATGACAGTTATTTCAAAGCACGACTCCAAACCCTGGCACTGGTGAGGTTTGCTTTGGGGTTAAGTCTGGATTCACTGCATTTCTTTGTAGTTAGTGCATCTTTTCCTGTTTGCTGAGTTCTCTCCCTGCAGGGCCAGGGATGGAGTAGGGGTGGGAGGATGAGGGGTGGGAAGGGGAGGAGGGGAGCCACCCTGCATCCTCCTGACCACCAGGCCTGACCCAGCTCCACTCCCTGGACAAGGCAAGAGATCCCTTTCCCACCAGTCGGGCGCTGCTGTGCATTCTGTGTGCAAACAGTAGCTGGTGTACTGTTTCTGGTCTTCCTGGCTAAACCTGAAATCCCATCAATGAAAGCCAGTTTTCCCACCATCCTGAGCCCCAGCACATATTTCAGGCCTGAAATTTCAGAAATGCCAGTCATACCATAATCTAAAGTCAAAGCAAATACCAACGGGCCTAATTATATAAAGGGAGAAAATTTGGTGCAGATGTTATCAAGGCTGGAGAGAGGGCTGGTTGGCAGTGGCCCGGTCAGTTCCTCTCTGAACATGCTTGTTATGATTAACATGGGAACTCGGAGTTCTGACAAGAGCCCAAATACCATAGCAGCCACATGCCTGGGAAGAGGGGCAGCAGAGAAGAGGATTTCCCTGCGGGCCCACTTTTGATGCATTGGATGCTGGGCATGGTCAAACACACCACAAATGCAGAAGGCTGTGATAATTCAGCCCACAGGAGTGCTCCCCTTTCCCCAGACCCACCTGGGCTCTTGCTGCTGAGAACTTATTTCCAAGGAAGGAACGTTTTTCATTAAAACTCAGCCCTGAGGCCTTCCTTGAGCCCCCAGATTAGATCGAATGCCCCTCCCCCATGCTCCCACAGGCTATGTCCTTACTAGTACCCCAGAACTAAGCTCTGCATGTTATAGTTACATGTCTGGTCCACAGCCAGCCTGAGTGCTCCTCAAACGCTGCCTGTGTCCTCTACACTTCTGTCTGTCCAGAGCCCAGGATGGGGCCTGGCACACAGGAGCCCTCAACAAACAGATGATGGTTGAATAAACTTTCTACACCTTCCCCACCCACCTGGTTCTGGCTCTTCCTCCGCAGCCAGCCAGGATGTTCAGTTCATGTCAGCAGGGGTAATGTGTGCAGATTCCCACCCAGCCTGGGGGAGCCAGGGTCTGCCAAGGCCACCAGTATCACAGACAGATGTCAGCATATCTGTGTGTTCAGGCGACGTAAGTTATTACCCAGTGGGGAGCCAGACAGATCCAACACCAGCAGGAAATCCATTGTATAGATAAGCTCGGTGGTGATGTTTAGGCCTCCACGTTAGGGGAGAGGAGAGACAAACACCACATGAAAAACCAGTTCTATTTATCAAGGGATGGAAAGGGGGGTCGACTCACCAGTCAGGGCACAAGGGTGGGGGCCCCACAGCACAATCCACTTCTGAATGACACAGTGCCCCTCTTCCCAGCCCACAAGTGAGTGGGTGTTCTGGGATCGTGCCACAAATGTGCAAGGGGTTTAGTCCCTAGAGGGAGACACTATGGGGATCAGGGGCTGAGCCAGGGTTTAGTGGTCTGCAGGCTTGACTTCCACTTCTGAATTCTGCCTCTGCTTTCCTGGAGAGCTGTGTGCACACACTACAGCAAGACGGAGTACAGGAAGCCAGCCCCTGGAGGCAGCAGGCAGGCCAGGGTTTATTATGTCATCTCAGTTGTGCTGTGCCCGGCAACTTCTACTAGCCAGGCACTGTCCTAAGCACCTTGCAACTGCCCCACAAAGGTGTTATTAACATCCCCACTTTACAAGCGAAGAAACAGACATAGAAGAGTTAAGCAGCTTGCTCAAGGTACCTTTATTATCCCCATCTTTGAGTTAATACATGGAGACAAAGACGGTAAGAAATGTCTTCCAGATCTCATAACATGTACATTTGGATTCAAACCCAGGCAGTGTGGGTCCAATGTGCGTGCCCTTAACACTTGTCAATAAAGCTTGACAGTGAGCCCGACCTTGGGGGGTGTGGCAGGAGGAAGTGAGGCGATTTCATTCCTTCCCTGCATCAAGCACAGGGCCACCTCCTGGACGGAGCCAGAGTTC